GACTGGTGTCTCTCAGGGAGATATCTACACTGACTGGTGTCTCTCAGTCCCCTCTCTCTCTCTCTCAGGGAGATATCTGTACACTGACTGGTGTGTCTCAGGGAGATATCTGTACACTGATTGGTGTCTCTCTACCCGTGAATAAACCATGTAAAATATGCAACAAAAACTGTTGCCTCACCATCTGAATTCAGGACAAGTGTCTCTTTTGTTTTCCAGCTATCGAACATATCCCATAATTTCACCGTCTTATCCCAGGATGCACTAGCCAGGAGTGTATGTGATGGGCTGAAGCTCAGATTACTGACTGGACCCTCATGCGCGGCCAGGACCTGTAAAGTCAAGGTTTAAACAGTAAGAAGCAGTTTACTGAATGAATAATACACGGGACCTGTCTTACCCAGCACAGGGTTACAGCACTCAAACACACACTGTCTCCATCCCTATTCTCCTCTGTGTCTAACAGCATAATCACATCTCTCCAACATCCCAACCCTTACCGAAAACATCCAGGGAGGGGAGAAGCTGAAGGGACAGGGATATATTTCCAAGTCAGGATGGTGAGTGGCCTGCAGGGAAACTTACAGGGGGTGGCGTTCTCATGTATCTGCTGCCCTTGTCCTTCTAGATGGTAGTGGTCATGGGTTTGGAAGGTGCTGTCTGAGGATTTTTGGTGTATCTTATGGTTGTAGACACTGCTGCTGAGTGTCGGTGGCAGACAGAATGGGTACAGAAGGCTGCTAGACTCTGGTCTAGAAACGTTAACTCTGTTTTCTGTCCATAGATGCTGTGAGACCTGCTGACTTTCTCCTGCACGTTCTCTGTCTGTTCCAACATTCTCTCCCTCCATCACCAATGGTCAGTACCAGCCACTCACTATCCTGAATTGGAAATATATCTCCATTCCTCTCGTGCGACTGGAACTGCCTTCCTAGGTTCTGCTCTAAGGATCAGGTTTGTGGTGGGGAGACAGGCAGAGGGAGGACTGATAACAGGGGCTGGAGCTGGTGTATGTTTGGGTGTTGCAGCCTGGTGCTTGGTAAGAAAGGTTAGGCTGTGTCAGTAAACAGAGGTGAAATTCACTTAGGAGCAGCAGGAATAGGCCATTCGGTCCATCCAACCTACTGCATCATTCAACGTGATTGTATCTGACGATCGAACTCAGCAGCTTGCTCCAGCTTTCTCTCTGTACGCAGAGCAGAATGTCATGAATACAGTGTTGAACAATCAATCCCAGACTCACCTCCAGTAAGCGGCCAGTTTGCATCGACCAGACAAAAATTTCAAAGGAATCCTGTGAGCCAGCACACACAATCTCCCCACTCATATCCACAGCCAAGGAGAAGAACTGAGTGGGTCGTGGCGATGTGAATGTTCGGAAATTTCGATACCTGTGAGAACACAAAGGGGGTTGTTCATTCAGCAACTTTACCCTGAAAGGTCCCACCAGCTAAAATATCAACTTGTAATGTGACCAAACCCATCCCTAATAGCCCCCCAAAACACCAACCCCCATCACAAATACCCACAAACACATCTACCCAATACCGAAAATACTGAGCCCACCCCAAATACATCCCCAAATAGCTCCAACACCACCCAATGACGAACATTATTTCAGACATTATTATTACAAAACACTGACTGGGTGACCGTTTTGCAGAAAGCCTACGTTCTGCCCACAGAAAACACCCTGAGTTTCCAGTTGCTTGCTGCTTCAACACACCACCCTGTTCCCTGGCCAACATCTCTGTCTCAGGCTTAACACAGTGTGGAGCTGGAAGAACACAGCAGGCCAGGCAGCATTAGAGGAGTAGGAGTGTCAACGTTTCGGGTCGGGACCCTTCTTCAGAATTTCTGAAGAAGGGCCCCAAGCCAATATGTTGACTTTCCTGCTCCTCTGATGCTGCCTGACCTGCTGTGTTCCTCCAGCTCTACACTGTGTTGACTCTGACCCCAGCATCTGCAGTTCTTGCTATTGCTGTAGTGCTCCAGCGAAGCTCAGTGCAAACTGGAAGCACAGCATCTCATTTTCCACTTGGGAACTCTACAGCCTTCTGGGCACAACATCGAGTTCAACAACTTTAAAGGTACCTTCGCCCATGTCCTTGCCCCTATCCCCCCTCCACACACAAGGCCTTGTTATCACATTGGCTGCTACCACAAACAACGTTTAGTCAGATACTAACGGCCTGTATCAGCAGCACTATTCCCTAAGACTGACCTTTGGCCACTCCTGTGTCTGCCCAACAGTTTTCTCTCTCTCGCTTTCTCTCTGGGCTCCATCTCATCTATTGTTTGCTCCTCCCCCTGCCCCAACCCATCTTCAGCATGTACACCAACCTTCTCCCAGCTACAATCAGTTCTGAAGAAAGGTCACTGGATCTGAAATGTTAACTCTGCTTTCTCTCCACAGATGCTGCCAGTCCTGCTGAGTTTCTCCAGCAATTTCTGTCAGATATATTAACCAGCCTGGTAAGCTTGTGGTAATAAGGCAGGCGTGTCGTGCAGATATTATTATTATGACTCACCTGTGAAGGTCGAATGCTCGGACTGTCCCATCCAGAGAGGCGCTCAGCACTACAAAACCCGTAGAATTGAAGGTGACTGCAGTGACAGCGCTTGTGTGTTCAGTAAACGTCACAATACAGAAACCACTGCTCGTGTTCCAAACTTTCACCTGGCGGGAGGCCAGAGGTCAGTCACAGTGAACCTTTCTCACACCAGCATTTAACACACAGACCAACTAAGGGAGAGGAGAGGTCAACAACTACAGGCCAAGGGGTTAACAACAAGACCACAAACCTCACTCTCCATTAACCCCACCCTCCCCCCCGCGTCTGTCAGCACACCCCCTCCCCACCACTCCCCCCACCCCACCGGCGTCTGTCAGCCCCGCCCTCCCCCAGCATCCCAACCAATTCTCAATCCATACCAGTACATTTCCCACGGTCTCCCGTGCTGGTTTATTTACTAACTTTGCAGGTGGGAACTTATCAAATGTTTCTGAAAATCCAAATACATCACACCCACTGGTTCTCCTTTATCAATGTAATATCCTCAAGAAACTCCAAGTTTGGGAAAGATAATTTCCCTTTCATAAGTCCATGGTTATTTTGATTAATTTTACCACCCTTTCAACTTGTTCAGTTATCATACCCTCTCTAATGGACTCTAACACATTATTTATAGAATGTTGTCAAGATATGAAGATAGATTGAAGAGGTTGAGGCTGTTATATGTGGAGCAGCGAAGGTTGAGAGGGGTACTGAAGGAGGTGTATATTATTCTGAGGGGCATAGATAAGGTGGATAGGAAGGTACTGTTTCCAAAGCAGAGGGGTCAGTAACCAAGGGGCATTGATTTAAAGTGAGGAGAAGTCTAAGAAGAGAGTTGAGGAGGATATTTTTCACTCACAGCGGAGTCGGAATCTGGAAGTCATTGCCTGAAAGGGTGACTGAGTCAGAAACTCTCGTAACATTTAAACAATATTTACATATTCACCTTTAGGACCATGGCCAAAAGCTGGAAATGGGATTAATGCAGTCAGATATTTGCTGGGAATGGGATTAATGCAGTCAGATATTTGCTGGGAATGGGATTAATGCAGTCAGATATTTGCTGACTGGTGTGAACACGATGGACCAATTTCACTTATAACCCCAGAGTTTTATTAATTGACTTTAAATTACATCACCTTTCAGGGTGGGCAAGAATAAAAAAAAATCACTCAGTAAAATGATCCCACGTCGATGTTCTGAATTAAGTGCAGGTCTCCTTTCTGAAATGAGACTGATGTATAGGGAGGGTCTCACCTTGCCATCCTCTCCCCCTGTGACAATGTACTGAGCATCTGGAGAGTACGACAGTGTGGCCATGTTGTTGAAGTGACCTTGTTGTTTGAAAACGTAAGACTCACTCTGCCACTCCCAAACCAGGAGCTGCCCCAGACCTGAAACACACCCACAATAAGAATCACATCATGCGGCATTACCCCTTCAATCCGACACAGATACGCGACAGCAAACAGTAAGTCAGCCGGAGAAAATAATCTGAAACCCCCTCAATAATCACCATCAGCCTTTCAGTCACACCCAACCACCCTTTCCTACATCCCGGAATTCCATCTCCTTACCTTTCCCATGAATCCTTTCTTTTTTGATCATCTTGTCATTTCCCATATCAATTCCTATTTTTCCCAGAACTTCTGGTTTGAGTTCCTCGAATCAGGAGTCCACCCTTGCCCCAGTTCTGAAACAGTTCTTTGTTAAGTCACCAGTGACATCCTGAGTGTGACAGCGGCAAACGATCCCTTCTTATCCTTCTCAAAATGTCTTTGGCCTTTAACACAGCGACCACACCATCCTCTGCCATCACAGCTTCACCATCACCCAGCTGGCTGGGACTGCTCTCACCCAGCTCCATTCTTATCTCATAGTTAGACAATCCCATGTACACTAACAACAGCCAGTTCTACTCACTGCCACCTCTCTCATCTCTTCCAATGGTGATAAATGATCAGGCGGTTTATCTAACACCCAGTGCTGGAGGAGCAGAAATGTCCTTCAGTTAAAAATTGGGACGACTTAAGACATTACTTGCAGCCTGTGTTGTGAATTTCAGGTTCTTAGTGACAGACCCCACGCCCCTTCCGAGGGTCAGTGGTATTTCTTATCTGAACCTCTGACCAAATTCTGTGAACCACAAAGACCAAGCTCCATAACATTGTCTGTTCCTGATGTCAAATAAAACAGCAAGAAAGTGTGTTCAGAAATAGAAAGCAGTGAAAGGCAATGAGGTGGAAGCTGAAACAGGGTCCAGAGAGAGACTGGATTCTAGACAGAATGTGAAAACTTACCCAGAAACCAGAACGGGAGCAGGAGTTCCAGAGTGAACTTGGGATCATGGTCAGTGTTGAGAGCTGGGAACAGGGTCTGGAGTGGGGAACTGGGTTGGGAACAGGGTTACAAATGGGGCAGTGTTGGAAACAGGAAACTGGGCTGGTCAAAATAATCAAGGGGCAAAAGGAGGAGAGGAAATAAATATAATAGCTATCACTAGATAAAAAGCACTACAGAAGCTATTGGGACAACGTTCCCCATACCTAATGGCATGCACACTAGGTTATTAAAGGAAGTAGCTACAGATATAGCGGATGCACTGGTGTATTTTTCTTTTATTCATTAACGGGATGAGGGCGTTGCTGGCCAGGCAGCATTTATTGCCCATCCCTAATTGCCCAGAGGACAGTTATGAGCCAAGTACATTGCTGTGGGTCTGGAGTCACATGTAGGCCAGACCAGGTAAAGATGGCAGTTTCCTTCCCTAAAGGACATTAGTGAACCAGATGGGTTTTTCCGACAATCAACAATGGATTCATGGTCATCATTAGATTCTTAATTCAAACATTTTCATCGAATTCAAATTCCACCATTTGCTGTGGCGGGATTTGAACCCAAGTCCCCAGAACATCACCTGGGTCTCTGGATAAAAGTCTAGCAATAATACCCACAAAGCCATTGCCTCCTGTAATCTTCTCGGAATCCTTAGATTCTGAAAAAGTCCCATATGATCAGAAAACTAATAATTTTATTTAAAAGGGAAGGAGAGATGAGGCAAAGTATGGCATGAATTAAATATGACCTTTTAAAAAAACTGTAGAAAAATGCACTGACTAATTACTTTCCTCACAAAGGAGGTAATATTTAATGTAACTGGCTGCCTTAATGGTAGTTACATTTGCAATTAATTTTTCTATTAAAACATGGCATTTTGTATCACTTATTAATGTTTAATCATATTTGTGAATTCAATACTGGCTTAGCTGTAAACCTCACGAAAAAAATAAAATGTTAACAGTGATCCAATTAAAAAAAAGCGCATGGTGTTGGAGGTAGTATATTCGCATGGGCAGAGGATTAGCATATGAATCGAGGACAGAGAGCTGGGTTAAGGCATCATTTTCAGGATGGAAACCTGTAACTAATGAAATGGCATAGGGATCAGTGCTGGGGCCACAATTATTCACAATATAGATTAATAATTTGGATGCGGAAAATGAATACACCATTACCAATTGCTACTTACAGATGGCACAAAAGTAGGTGGGAAGGAATGTGGTAAAGGTGACCCAAGAGTCTATAGTGGGATAGAGACAAGTGAGGGGGCAAAAACTTGGCAGATGGAATATAATGTGGCAAAATGTGAAGCTATGCACTTTTACAGGAAGTATAGAGAAGGTGAGTATTATTTAAACAGATAAAGACTGCAGAAAACTATAGAACTTGGGCTCAGACCCACTGGAGTTTAGAAGAATGAGAGGATTTCATTCCAATACACAACCCTGAGGGGACTTGACAGGGTGGAAGCTGAGCGGATGTGTCCCCTTTTAGGAGAGAGTAAAATAAGTGACAATTTGAAAAGAAATGGCCTTCATTGTATGATGCAGGTTAGAAAACATTTTTCTCTCAGAGGGTCTACAGAATTCACTTCAGCAGCGAATGGTACACAGGGAATCCATAAGACCGTAAGATATAGGGGAAAATTTAAGCCAATCAGCCTGTTGAGTCTGCTCCACCATTCAATCATGGCTGATATGTTCCTCAACTCCATTCTCCTGCTTCTCCCTGTAATCCTCAATTCCCTTATTAATCAAGAATCTATCTAACTCTTTTTTAAATACACTCAGTGACTTGGCCTCCACAGCCCTCTGCAGCAATGATTTCCACAGATTCATCATCCTCTGGCTGAAGAAATTCCTCCTCACCTCAGTTCTAAAGGATTGTCCCTTCACTCTGAGACTGTGCCCTCAGGTCTCCCCCAACCACTATCCAGGCCTCTCAGTATTCTGAAAGTCTTTATTACCCCTCATCCTTCTAAACTCCCAGAGTCCTCAACCATTCCTCATATGACAAGCCCTTCAGCCCCAAGATCATTCTTGTAAACCTGCTCTGGACCCCATCCAACACCAGCATATCCTTCCTAGATACAGGACCCAAAACTGCTCACAATATTTGCAATGCGTTCTGACCAGAGCCTTGTACAGCCTCAGCAGTGCATCCCTGCTCTTGTATTCTAGCTCTCTTGAAATGAATGCTAACATTGCATTTGCCTTCCTTTCTGCCAATTGAACCTGCATGTTAACCTTAAAAGAATCCTAAACCAGGATTCCCCAAATCCTTTAGTGCTTCAGATTTCCAAAACCTTTCCCCATTTGGAAAACAGTCTAAACCTCCACTCTTTCTACCAAAGTATATAACCTCACACTTTCCCACACTGTGTTCCATCTGCTACTCCTTTGCCCACACTCCCAGCCTGTCCAAGTCCTCCTGCAGCCTCCCTGCTTCCTCAACATTACTTGTCCCTCCACCTATCTTCGTGTCATCTGTAAATGTAGCAACAATGCCGTCAGTTCCTTCATCCCGATTGTTAATGTAAATAGTTGTGGTCCTAACACAGGCCCCTGTGAAACTCTACTAGCCACCAGCTGCTATTCTGAAAAGGACCCCTTTATCCTCACTCTCTGCCTTCTGCCAGTCAGTCAATCCTCTATCCATCCCAGTACCTTGCCCCTAACACCGTGGGCCCTTATCCTATTTAGCAGCCTCCTGTGCAGCACCTTGTCAAAGGCCTTCTGGAAATCCAAATAGATCACATCCACTGGCTCTCCTCTGTCTAACCTGCTCGTTATCTCCTCAAAGAATTCTAACAGATTTGTCAGGCATGACCTCTCCTTGATGAAGCCGCGCTGACTCAGCCCTATTTTACCAAGCACTTCCAAGTGCTCCACAATCTCAGCCTTAATAACAGACTCTCAAATCTTACCAGTGACCGAGGTCAGCCTAAGCAGCCTATAGTTTCCTGTCTTCCATCTCCCTCCCCTCCTAAACAGCGGGGGGGTTACATTAGCGATTTTCCAGGCCTCTGGGACCCTCCCTAACTCCAGTGATTCCTGAAAGATTACCACCAATGCCTCTACAATCTCCTCAGCGATTTCCTTGAGAACTCTGGGGTATAGTCCATCTGATCCGGGTGATTTATCCACCTTCAGACTCTCACCTTCCCCTTAGTGATGGCCACTTCACCCACCTCTAGCCCCTGACTCTCTTGAAGTTCTGATATGCTGCTGGTGTCTTCTCCTACAAACACTGACAAAAAGTACCTGTTCAATTCCTCTGCTGTTTCTTCTTCCCCATTATTACTCCAGCCTCATTTTCTATCAATGTCCACTCTTGCTTCTCACTTCCTAGAAAAGAACTGTTTAAAAAACTAACTTATCCTTATATTTCATCTTCACCAACCTAATGCTTATTTAGTTTTTAATGCATATTTAGGTTTTTAAAGGTTTTCCAATCCTCTGTCTTCCTGCTAATCTTTTCTTTATTCATTCACAGGATTTGAGTGTTGCTGACCAGGCAGCATTTATTGCCCATCTCTAATTGCCCAGAGGGCAGTTAAGAGCCAACCACATTGCTGTGGGTCTGGAGTCACGTGTAGGCCACACCAGGTGAGGATGGCAGTTTCCTTCCCTAAAGGGCATTAGTGAACCAGATGGGATTTTCTGACAATCAGCAATGGATTCATGGTAGACTCTTAATTCCAGATTATTTGAAAATTTAATTCAAATTCCACCATCTGCTGTGGTGGGATTCAAACCTGGGTCCCCAGAACATTATCTGGGTCTCTGGATTAACAGTCCAGCGATGTTACCACTAGGCCATCGCCTCCCCACATTGTACACTTTCTCTTTTGCTTGTATGCTGTCCCTGACTTCCTTTGTCAGCCGTAGTGCCTTGCCCTCCTCTTAGGATGTTTCTTCTTCCTTGGGATAAATTTCTGCTGTGCCTCCTGAATTACCCCCAGAAATTCCTTATATGTTGCTCCACTGTCTTCCCTGTTAGGCCCCATTCCAATCAACTCTGGCCAGCCCCTCCCTCTCAAACTGCAGGGTGAATTCCGTCATATTATGGTCACTGTCACATAGGCATTCCTTCACCTTCAGCTCCCTATCAGGTCTGTCTCATTACACATCAGTAAATCCAGAATCAAAAACAGAAATTGCTGGAAAAACTCAGCTGGTTTGGCAGCATCTGTGGAACAAAAGCAGAGTTAATGTTTCAGGTCTAGTAACCCTTTCACAGGACTGGAGAACCTCTTCCACATCCTGACTACTGCTGGGAGGCCTGTACACAACTCCTAGCAGGGTCTTTTATCCTTTGTGGTTCCTCAACTCTACCCACACAGATTCTATGCCTCTACATCACTCCTTACTGTCAGCTTAATTTCATTTCTTACTAACAAGGCAACCCCATCCCTTTTCCCATCGGCCTGTCCTTTCCATAGGACATGTATCCTTGGATATTTAGTTCCCAGCCCCGATCCCCTTGCAGCTACATCTCTGTGATCCCCACAACATCGTACCTGACAATTTGAAACTGCACTACTGGCTTGTTTCGAATACTGCACGCACTTCAGTACAACACCCTCAGTCCTGCGTTGATTGCCCCACTTCTTGTAGTTGTCACCTTATCTGCTATGCCTGAAGTTAGATTCCTGACCCTTTCCACAGTCTCTGTACTCTTACTTGTTCTGGAAACGTTAATAACCTGTGCTGAGACCTCCCCCGTCCCCTTTAACTTTTCCCATAATTTTCCATGCAATTGAAACCACCTGCCCCCCCACCACCAACTCTCAGATTAACTGTAGGACAGAGTTAGATAGATTCCGGGGCGGCACGGTGGCTCAGTCATTATCACTGCTGCCTCACAGCACCAGGGACCTGGGTTCGATTCCAGCCTTGGGCGACTGTCTGTGTGGAGTTTGCACATTCTCCCTGTGTCTGTGTAGGTTTCCTCTGGGTGCTCCAGTTTCCTCCCACAATCCAAAGATGTGCAGGTTAGGTGGATTGGTCATGCTAAATGGCCCACAAGGTTCAGGGATGTGTAGATTAGGTGGGTTATAGGGGGATGGGTCTGGGTGGGATGCTCTGAGGTTCGGTGTGGACTTGTTGGGCCGAAGGGCCTGTTTCCACACTGTAGGGATTCTAAGGTTCCATCACAGCTTTAAATAAACCCAACAATGGAGTAAAGTGCCACACTCCAAAGATTCACCATCCTCCGAGTCTGTTTCTCCTCACTTCAGCCCTGAATGGTCAGCCCCTTTGCTTGAGACTGTGTCTCTGTTCCCAGTTACCCAGCCTGGGGGTGGTTGCGGGGCGGGGTGGGACGGGACACGACACCCCTTCACAACCCTGTCTCTCAGTGAGATCACCTCTTATTCTGCTCAACTCCCGATCCCATTTACTCAGCCCCTCATCCCAGGGCCAGCTTGAGTGAATCTTTTACACCAAAGTGACTCTCCTCACATGCAGCCCATGTCCTCTCCACAGCTTACCTTTCCACCTAGCTGTGTACCATCAGCAAGGCCATACATTCCCTCTGTCTCTGCAAATATAACAAACACTTTCTCACCTGGACACCCAAACGCAATCCAGTCCCCAGACACATTCACAGAAATCGACTCGATCCTTTGGTCTGAAATACTGGAGATAATAAGAATTAGTAACTGGAACAATCATTGCCTCCCAGCCCCACCCAGCACCTAATCAGATTCATCATCATATCAATCCCCTGCCCCATGAGTGGGGATAGAGCAGTGCAGCTCAACTCCTGGACAGTGACAGATCCCTCAGTACATTCCTGTGTTGTTTGCACTCTCCCTTACAGCTCACACTAACCAGCCACACATATTGACTAGTTTACTGCCTTCCCATTGCACCTGTAAACGCTGGGCTTTACCTGAGCGAGTGGATGAGGTTAAATTCTGGCAGCTCATGGAGATGAAATATCCCAGAAGCAAATCCTGTGACCAGGAGGTGAGTTTTCTTGTGGTAGGCAGCAGCTGTCAGATCATTGAAATCCTTCTCTTTATTGAAAAAATGCCTTCAAAAAAAAAAACACACAGGATTGGAAAATACTGAGACATAAATCAGACAGGGAGGGGCAATGAGAGAGAGAGAGAGACAATGAGAGAGAGGGTGGAGAGAGAGAGAGAGAGAGAGAGAGAGAGAGAGTGAGAGGTACAGACACAGACAGACAGAGACAGCAAAAGAGAGATAGACTGTGAGAGAGAGGGTGTATGTGTACGAGAGAGAGAAAGAAAAGACAGAGGGACAGTAAAGATGGAGACAGTGAGAGAGAGAGAGGGAGATAAAGCCAGACCTAGTAGAGATGGACAGACAGCGAGTGAGAGGAAGGAAAAAAGGGGAAATGAGAGTGCGCAAAAGAAAAAGTGAAAAGGATGGAGAAAGGGAATGAGACAGACAGAGAGCTTGCACCAATGATAGGATGGACAGTGAGACATAACACAGAGCGAATATGGTGAATGGAAGTAGAGATGGGGAAGGACAAGAGGGGGGAGAGAGAGAGAGATAGGGACAGCCAGAGACACATGTAGAGCAACAATTAAAAAAAGACAGGCACATTGTCGAACAGTCAATGACAAATCAGTGTGTATCTGCAGCATTTCTTACTTTCCAACTCGAGAGTATTTCACTTTCCCAATCCTTTCCTGCTCTGACTCTGCTTTTCCCCGAATGATTTCTGCACTCTGCCCAGTGATTTCTTGGCTTTGATCAGTCTCTGTTTTGTCCTTGGTCTTTGGGAGTTGGCGCTGAAGACCATCAGGTTCTGTATCACACTGCCACACACACAGGGTAGCATCCCGACTCAGTGTATAGATCTGCAGCAAAACATATCTCCATTCAATCTGATACCAACCACAGAAAACCACTCAGGCCACCCACACAGTCACTGGCAACTCCACACCTTCACCCTACCCCCTGGGTCAAAGGTCAGGGTGGGCTGCCCAAGCTGTGCCAATGAATATCTAACAGTGATGGCAGGGGGAATGTGAACCCTGGGGAGGGGCAGGGGAGGGGGGTGCGAACCCCTGGGAGGGGCAGGAGAGGGGTGAGCGTGAACCCCTGGGGGGGGG